TCCTTCGAGGTACTCTCGCCATTTCTCCACGGCCCATACCACAGCGAGACACTCTTTCTCAACTGTGGAGTATGACTTCTCAGCACTTTGCAGCAGCCTGGAAGCATACGCTACTACATTTTCCCCTTGTTCAGTTTCTTGTGTTAATACTGCTCCCAAACCAACGTTACTGGCATCTGTTTGCACTCTGAAGGGCCGACTGAAATCTGGAGGTCTAAGTATAGGGGCTTTCTGCAGAGCTCCTTTAAGCCACTCAAACGACTGTTGGCACTCCTGAGTCCATACCCATAAGACATCCTTCTTTTTCAGGGCATGAAGAGGTGCTGCCCGCTCTGAAAAGTTAGGTATGAAGCGATGATACCAACCCACCAAGCCAAGGAATCGCTGGACTTCCTTCACATTCTTGGGTGTTGGGAAATTATGGACAGCTTCAACCTTAGAGGGCTCGGTCTTTACTCCTCCTTCTGAGATGACATGACCCAAAAACGAAAGGGACTTTCTTATCAGGTTGCATTTTTTCAAGTTCAAAGTCAGACCAGCAGCTTCCAGTTTTGTGAACAACTGTCTTAAATGCCCAAAGTGCTCCTGAACATTGGCCGAATACACAACAATATCGTCTATATAGACAAAACAACATTTACCGATGAGCTCTCGTAGGATGTTATTCATTAATCGCTGGAAAGTCAAAGCAGCATTTTTCAAACCAAAAGGAAGACGAATGAACTCAAATTGGGCAGATTTGGTGACAAAAGCAGTTTTGGGAATGCTATCTTCCTCCATACAGACCTGCCAATAACCGCTCTTCAGATCTAAAGTGCTGAAAACTGAGGCTCCATACAAAGAGACCAGTATGTCCTGCACCTGAGGCATAGGAAAACCATCTAGTGGAGTTTTTGCATTTAAGGACCTGTAGTCTACGCAAAAGCGCAAACTACCATCCTTTTTTGGCACCAGTACAATAGGTGCAGCCCACGGGGAAGTGGATGGACGAATGATTCCCTTTTCCAGCATCTTCGACACTTCGTCCTCAATCAATTTTTGCTTGTGAACTGGGGTAGGGTATGCCCGTTTCCTCACTGGAATTTCATCACTGGTGTTGATGCTATGCCTGATCGTGGAAGTTCTTCCCAGTGAATCTGTACACACGGTAGGCCAATCAAAGAGAAGGCTTTCTAACTGATGCCTCTGGGAAGGTAAGGCATCTGCTGAACTCACAAGGTCTTTAAGGATAGTTCTGGTGGCCTCATTGATCTGAACAGCAGGTAGTGCTAAATGTAATCTGGTTGCAGTTGGAAGAAAGTCAGTATTATGTGAAGATGAAATGGAAAACTGATGCAGCTTATCCTCTCCCGGCAAAGAATATGTTGCGCCACGGACGTCTAAGACCATACCCGAGACATTCAAGAAATCAAGGCCTATTATCAACGGAAAAGTTAAATCACAATCTCTCATGACGTAAGCTTTAAAAGGATAAACATGGTCATGCACTATACATTCTAATGTTACCTTTCCTAAGGCATGCTGAAGGTGTCCATTGGCAAGGGAGAACATCTGCCCTCTGGCAGACTGCCAAGCTTCCTCTCTTTCCCTGATACGATGCCAAAGAGATTCTTGTATCAAAGAGTAAGTGCTGCCTGTATCTATTAAAGCTTCAAAGGGATAACCACGAATAACTAGAGGTAATGTCAGAGGAGTTATAGAACACTCACAAGTTCCATCCAAGAGAGCAATAGGTTGACTATCGTGATGACCTCGACCGGCTCTTCCAACCACAGCAGGTTTTCGTGATTGCTCAGCCTGCCTCTGTCTCCAATATGCTCTCTCCTCATTGAGGTCTCTCTCCACCAATGTTCCAACTCTAACCATCTCGTCCACTGTGGATACGGTACCCCTTAGTACGCTAGCAATACGAGGATTGCAGTTTCGGAGAGTGGCTTGTAGAATTTCTCTTTCAGACATAGAAGGTTTCAGTCTTAGGCACAACGCTCTGTATTGATAAACAAAAGTGCGTATACTTTCTCCTATTTCCTGTTTTCGCTCCCTGATTTTTCTTTCAGCTTCGACTTCATGGTCATCAGGTAAGAATGATCGCAAGAAGAGGGTCTTAAATTGAGCCCAAGTTTTTACCCGGGTTTTCTCAGCAATCCACCAGTCTTTTGCTGTGTGGATAAGTACTGATGGAAGCATGGATAATATTTCTGTACTACTTAGAGGGTGGATGGCCAGATATTCATCACACTTCTCTAGGTAGGCTATCGGATCTTCTCCTTCCTGACTGCTGAACTTTGGAAATTCAATTTTGATGGGAGCACTAAAATGAACTGATCGCTGACCAGTGTCAAAAGGTGGGGCTGAAGTTACAGTGGGAGTGGACATGGAATATGGAATGGGGAGTACATTGGCCTTTAACTGTACATCTCTTCGTCTAAGGCAGTCCATAACGGCATTTCCCAATGATTGCATATTCTGCTCAAGAAGCTGTTTCACTCTCTGACATTCTTGTTTAGTCCCATCAAGTATGGTTTCTGCCAACTTCTTGTGCGACCTTTCTAGGGCATTGACTTGAGATTCCAAATTATACATCTGGTCATGCTGGTTTTTAAATTCATCAAGCACCTGTGTTTCAAAGTCCTTAATGCGACACTTGATATCATTCTCCAACCCGCTCACTTTTTGTTCAACTTGGCTTACCCTTGAGGCGATCACCATAGATATCAGACTCTCATCATCCTCTATTGGCGGTGGCGGTGGCAACACAGCTAGCTCTTCTCCCTCTTCACCCTCCAACACGGGATCCAAATAGAGACTACTGAGTGACTGTATGATATCTTGCAGGGGTTCACGATGCACAGTAAAAGCATCTGAACCATAATCTAGCTCTATTAGACCCTCCCCCACTGTCTCGGCAGGATCAGCATCCATTTTGGAATGATATGGGTAAACTACCGTATAAAAATATAAGTTGGTATTAAAGCAACATAAATGACTGAAAAAAAAATAAAACGTAGTACTGCTCAACTATAAACAGTTAAGTATACAAAAAAAAATACAATCGTTCGTGCAATACCCAGTACACTCAAACAAATAAATGAAGATTCTTTCAACTGAACTGGTTGCCTTTGGAAGGTCCCTGTTCGGGCGCCATTTTATGTAACACTAGTCTGATTTCAAAGACAAAATGAAACACAAAAAAATATAAGGGGGGAACCACATCCAAATATAATTGCCAAACACCAGCTCAAAAGAAATATCAAAATAATATATCACAATGTCATAAAGCAACAAGACTCTACAATCACTCAAAACCAAGCCCCATGAGTTATTTGATGTTAGCTCAGTCCAAAAGAATTTAACCACCCAATCATAAAATAATAATTTGGATAATCTGTGTGTAATGGACCTAAAGAACCTGTAATCCCGCGATGATCAATCCAATTGTCAGTGCATCATAGTTCAGTTCAAATTTAGTTCATTGGCGGCCACAGTCTCATCACAGCAAAAACTCACTCAGTCAAAAATTGTAGGAGCGAATAAGCTGTTTTTGTACTTTAAAGCTGTACTGCTGACATAATGTTTTCTGACTGTAGCATATTGTGGTGCGCCGTCACCAGACCAAAAGTGTGTGTGTGGCTGTCTGTGCACGTTTGCACATTTTGAAGGAGTGACTAGGCTGCTTGTCGGTTCGTTGCACCGCGCCGCTTCCCTCTCTTACTGTGTCCCGCACAAAACATTTGTTTGTTGTATAAATCATAAGATAGATGTGTCCATTCATTTGATTATTAGATTTGATTGTGCATTAGCCTCACAAATGACTGACTTTGCTCTGTATGGTGATGGTGCCTGATATGAACTTGGGTTGCTACATTAACTGAATGAATATATGAACATATATGCCACATTGATAGGTCACAGCCTACCCATGACAAGATTTCACCGCACGTTACTGGTGTATACATACCCATCGTGTATTCATGACTGTAACTCTCTAGTTTGTATGTTTATATACATATCTTTATTATTGTCCGCACTAGAGTTACACTTGCTTTATTATTACATCATGTTATGTTATTCGCTGTATTTTTTCTATACTTAATGGGAGAATTGTTGTAAACAATTTGCTGCACGCATGCGGTCTCATAACCCAGACAGAGCGGCGCCATACAAACTTTGCAGCCTTACAAGGTGTCAGGTTACAGCTGTGCGTTGCATATAATATAGAAGTTACAGCCTACCTTACATTTGCTCTTAGTTTTTTCTAATAATGTTCATGTTTAATCATTAATCTTGTTTTTTTGTGCTGTATAATTGATCATATGTTTAATTGTTGTAATTTATCATCATTATAATTTATAATCACGTTTGTGTTACTGTTTATTTTATAGAAAACCACAACCATGCAAACCAGTCTGTTATTCCCAGAAAGTGCATCTTTGTTTTCGTCTCTAATCGGACAGCCTTTGATTGGTCAGCACCCTGAGCCGGCAACTTGTGTTTTATAGTGAAGTGATACCAATCAAAAGCATTTTTTTCAAATTAGCTGTGAAACTAAACTAGCTTAGTCGTTCTTCTCTCTGCCATGTTTAAAATGTATTGTCTACCCAACTCAGTAAACTCAGATATCAAAATGATCTCAGTTTCCCAGTAGTACGACTTGAGAGGGCATTCATGTCCAATTCCTGAGTAAGAAACTCATATTTACGGTAATTCCAATAGCATGTGAAGTCAGCATAAAGCCAGAGTTTTGTCAACTCGAAACTATTCCTCTAACCCTGAGTTTGTTCAACTACCATTATGGTACGAGCCTGTGGTCTTTGGCCATCTACATCTAGCTGTTTTAGAGAACACATTCCTATTAAATGAGTTTAACGTTTTGTTTTAAATAAGTATATTAACATGTTTAATTGACAGCTTTTTGTAATTGTAAAAAATGTTTTAATACATTTTTGTAATTTTGTAATTTGCTTTGTCTTCTAATTTTTCCAAGTTATAAAAATACAGACCTTACGGACAAGTTCAATAATGGCAGTTTTTGCTGTCTGAAAATTCTCCTTTGAAATGCTTCCTGATGTGTCCAAAAGGATGAAGACATTCAGCCGACCATCTTCAACCCTGACAGTCCTACCCAAATATTTCCCTATGATTGTGCAATAAAACAAATGTAAACAGCCATGTAGTAAAGGTTAATGTTCCTTACTTGTGTAAAATAATTTTTTTTTTTCAAAAATGTCTCTTTTCACCTTTCTTTTTAAAGTTAGGGTGTGACACATCCGTCAAGCTTGCTTTTGACTCGCGCTTCCTGCCTCTCTTGTGGCCAACTAATATTAAGTTTTGCCACAGCCCGCGTCACAACCTCCACGAGCTTATCATAATTAGGCACAGTTTGAACTGAGTAGTGTGCCTCGTCCTGATCCCCCGCCACGATGCTGAGCACGTCTAATTCCTCAGAATCAGACAGCCGCAGTACCGGGTCTGCATCCCGATTTGGAGAAGCCGGTAGGCGGGCTCCCGAACGGGGAACAGGGGAATCTGAGCTATCAGATGAGGATCAGTAAAGTGCCTCTGCAGTCTCGATCCCCTCTGCAAGCTCTCTTTGCGATCCCCACGATCTAAGCCGCCACATCGCCTCGGCAGGACCTGAACCACGGGGTGCGCGTACCTGACCATCTTCATTAAATAAAGCCAAGCGGGAACGCAGCACTCTGATGGAGAGTGATTCACAGTGGCCGCAAGCAGCCCCCTCGAGGGCTGCCTGGGCATGCTGCATTCCCAGACAAGACACACACATCTCGTGTGTGTCCCCACCCGTAACATAACTAGGGCAGGGCAACACACACTTCCTGAACTGCTCACTTGCCATGATACAAATTGTTGAAAATAGGACAAAACAACACCAAATAAGACAGACTGTTTCACACAACACAGAACACTTGCTGAATAGCGAAAGCTAACTCTGCTGTGTGCCGGCGTTCCTTTGTACACATCCGTGTATGCCGTCACACGCTACGTCATCACGCAACGCCTATAGGATTGGTTTAGTTTTTATTCATGATTCAGACGTGCTACGCTGAGGGGCGTTCCCCTAGCGTTGTCACCGACACAGTTCGAATTCCCTCGAAAGGGAACAAGCCCAGCCCACGTAAAAAAACAAAAACAACCACAAGTAAAACAAAAGTAACGTAACGCATTACTTTTCTAAAAAAGTAACTAAGGAAAGCAATCAGTTAATTTTTAAGGGAGTAACGCAATACTATAATGCATTACTTTTCAAAGTAACTTTCCCCATCACTGGTTATTAAAGCATCAACATTCACAAACCACTGTTAATTTATCATAATAGCAAGCATAGACTACTGCGTGCATGGTTTAGCATGACAGAATGCACCCAAGTACGCTCCCTTAATAATTCCTAAAAATCTTAGTTCATCGCGCTCTTACAAAGCTCTGTTATTATCAATGAAGCTGACTAAACAATTAATATTTCATAACGTCTACACTTTGTTTGTTATAATCAGAGGATTTGCCGCAGTGAGGGGATTCTATCTTAAATGCATCTGATTGGCCATTGCGTTCAATGACATGACATGACATGCGTATGTCTGTGATTGGCAACATTGCACAATGCTGCAAAAACATGTTATAAATAGAAACTCTGCCTGTAACTTGTTTTTATTTTCATTTTAGTTGTTCTTGTTGCTTTTGTACGAGTCCCGCGATTCGTTTTATTCTCCCGCAACCCGCACACATACCTTACCTCCCCCATAAATCTAGTCCCGCGCCGCACTCTGTTGCGTTGTGTCCCGCGGTAGGTTTTCATGTCACCAAAACGCAGTTGTCGTATAAATGAACAGCCAAAACGCATACAAAGTTTTCAGTTTTTAGTTTAAACGGTGTTGTTTAAACAGCCCCTGAATCTCCAACAGAAAACATCTGCCTAGTTTGTAGTAGGCTACAGCCATTATTTACATAATGTGGCTACATCACCATGTAGCACATTTGCATAATTTACACATGCTGCCTCTTTGGCTCGTCCTCAAACAAAGGTAGTTATAAGACCAGGAGAAGTTTAAGAAATTAAGAATTTTTAAAAAAAAATTAACTCAAGTAAAACTATTCTAGTAGACCATCTTGAAAAATTATGAACCATGTAAATATAATGTTTCAATTAAGAGTAATGCGGGAGTAGCATATTATAAAAGATAGTAAAAGAAAACAAATCACAACTTCATTTGTATGTTCTGTTTGGAAACAAAGGAATATAAATGCTTACACTGGTCATCACACACTGGTGTTGCACCAGTCCATCCACCCCACTGAGTGCAGTTCCGCTCAGCAGATCCAATCAAATCAAATCCTTCATGGCATGTAAAGGTCTGTTTTTCTCCAAACTTGAACCACTGTTTCCTTGGCCAGAACTGCCCGTTGTCAAGCTGAAGTTGAGCAGGGCAAAGAATCTCTAATAGTGATACAGAAACATGGGTGGTTAAAGTGGAAGCAAAACATGTAGTCTGTAGAGCTTTTCACACTTAAAATTGTTAATCTTTGGGTTACCTTTTTCCATGTTTCAGACTGTTCAATTTTTACCTTGTGTGAATTAATCTTAGGTTTTCAGGATTTATGCAGAGCAAAGGTGTTAAATGTACTTTTATTATTAGTCCAGTCACTGCAACAGTGTTTAAACACATTTGTTTGCACTGTGGCAAAGATAAAGAGTAAAAGACTTCACCTGAAATCAAATTCACTAGTTTTGTTAATCAATAGTGTTGTAGTAAGATAAGCAAATATTGTCTCTGAAAATGATTTTGCATGGGGAAATTTTAACTGTCACACGTAGACATCAAAACTTGGCAATGGTGACAGTCAATAAAAGATTCATGCCGCAGTGCATGCTGGGTACCAGCATAGTGCCAAACTCAACAATGTCGCCCAACATGCATTTTGGCATGGGTCTTTTAATATGAAAATGTTTGACTTCAAACAATGTTAGGTTTTGAATGACAAGTGCTGATGTCTAAGCAAAAATCTATTGAAATGTTATATCCTTCAGAAGCAGTGTCTGCCCACTTCTCCATAAGTAGTGATGGGAGCAATTAAGTTTTTTTTAAAGTTGAGGCTATAAGTCTGCTTCAGTCTTGTTCTCATTTTCTGTTCTTGTTCTTCCTCTTTCCTTCAGTAGACTCTGTTCATTAACAGCAGGTGTCATCAGTGGCTACGTTTACATGCAAAACTTTTGTTTCAATCGGACTGAGTTCATTCTGATTGATGAATCTAAATGTAGTGTTTACATGAACACTAAACAAGTGATCAGGTTGATGTGGCCGTTTATATGTCACAAGCTTCAAATCGTAATATATTTTTTGACATGCGCACACTGCACAAATATAGGAGTTTCTCGCTGTTTGCGCATATTAACCATTCTCCTACATTGGTTCTTTATTTGTTTTAAACAGTAGACTTAATATTTATCCATTTCTGGTCATAATTTGGAGACTCTGCTTATATTTATAACACTGTAAAAATGCCCAAAACCAGTCGTCTGTGGATGAGAGTCTGAAACAAGGACTGGTGGGATGTTGTCCTGCTCCACTTCACAGACGGAGTGAAATGAGAATTTTAGGATGATGGGACACTCATTTATTTGACACTTTATTCAACAGGAACAGGAGCTCATTCTGTGTGTCATACGTTACGCTATTTCAACGTCATTGCATATGCGCAGTCCTTTCAGTTTCGGTTTTTAATCCGACCAAGTGTTTACATGAGCTCAATCGCATCGATTAAGGTGTTTACATGAAGGCTTTTCAGTCCAATTGAGCCGTCAATCTGATTACTAACGGATTATTTGGTTGCATGTAAACGTAGCCACTAAAGGCCAGTCATCACTTTTAACACCTGTGGGTGAGATTCATATACACCTAGAGGTGTTCATATAATACTAGTGTTTTTGTTGTGTTTTAGCACTGTACATTTGTAAATTCTGGTATAACATTCATTATTATTTGTCAATATTATTAATTGGACAAAGAGAGCATGCAGCCTATTTAATTAATAACTCTTGCACATCAGTGGGATTTCTATATTTCTGATCCTATGCTGTGGAGCTTGGTTTTATACCCCATCTTAATAGCATTAGTGGTGCTAATCCCCATTCAAAATACATAATAAACGTCTGAAAATTAGTTTGAACTCAGGGTTAAACAGCAGAGTATGTTAAAAAGGATGATAACCCATGGAGTAAAAAGGCCATGTGGCGATAGGAAGAAGGTACCCTTGCACACAGCACTGAGTGTTCTCTTTCCATTTGGGAGTCTCATGGCTGACCATTGGCCATCTCTTTCACAGACTCTTTGCGTTGCTGGAAAAGGGTAGTGTCCTGCCTTGCAGTGATAGGTCAGCATGCTCCCCTCCAATCCCTCATTGGAGTAGGCCACACTACCTCCCTTTATGGACACTTCCAACGAGCAGTTCTTCTGTGTTTCCTCATAATCTCCATAATCACTGGTTTCTAAAATAAACAGATTCGGTTAATAGTAATCCTAGAATTAAATGAGATTTTTTTACAGTAGACTAAGTCTAATGACTATATTAACTACAGTATAGTCATGACATCGTTCCCTTTACCATTGTCAATGTCAGTTTAAATATGCTGTAGATAGCATATTACATTTTTAGTTTCAATTTTACCATACAAATGAGGATAATGTTCCTTGTACTCTGGCCACAGCAATTGAGGAATTTAAGTGATTATTAATGATAAAAGACCCAGATTATTTCCACCACAATGAAGAATATAAAGTTTGTCAAAAGTTTTCCGAAGTTACTATATTTTGCTACCCATGAGACAAAGGTGTCAGTGAAAAGCATGCTTGAAATATGAGATATGTGATGTGTAAAGAAAACAAAAGAAAAATGTAAAAACCATTTGTGATATTTTGGGCAAAATTCTTTTGCGTGTAAAGTCTGATGTGATTTGGGCAAAAGTAGGTACTATGAAAGTAACAAGCCTTATGTTTCCAGTCTCAAAGCCCATACATATTTCATGAAGCCTTTCGTGGTATCCAATACTTTACTTGAACGGGATATAGTAAATAAATATGATCACTCTTTAAAGTTTACCTTCACATTTGACCCTGGATACTCTTGGCTCCCATTCTCCATCAGAGCTGCAGACTTTTTGGCTGATTGGATAAGGTTCAAATCCATCGCTGCAGTGGTAAATTAGCCGACTACCCACAACACCGCCATTTGAATACTTCACCATGCCTCCAATGATGGATTCAGATGTGGTGCAGTTTTTGGGCTCATTCTCCCCTAAGTCATAATCATAGTCATATCCCGATTGCACTGAAACAGAGAAATATTGAATATTGTTAACCTTTACATTTGATCCTTTTAAATCTGAAAGTTAGGGCAACTTTTGACTAAAATCATGATTATACTCGTTCAATTTATCAGTAAAATCCATATCTAATTTAATCCTCTTGATATTTTTCCTCTCGATACCTGCCAATGTTTTAATTCCCTACAATGAAAATTTATTCTGATTCAAGGGGAATCAGAATGCCATACTGACTGGACAAGAGGAGGAGCTGGGGATGGAGGAGGGTAATCAGCTCCTGAGAAACGCGATAGCTGCTGATAATACTGAAGGAGCTTATATATGTATACAGTGATAGGCGTCATATTCCTATAGGTAGACGTGTATCAGCTGAGAGTCAGCTAATGCAAGCTTGACTAATGTGACCTGCCAGAACCGCACAACTACACTTAATTTCTCTTACTGTGATGTTGGTTCACCAAAGTCGATTTATATACAGTCAAACTCCCCCACCTTGATTTTTTCCCAAACAAACTCAAGCACCAAATCCACAGATCTCCAGAGAAGAATCGAGGTCCTGGGAGTTAAGCCAAATTTCCGTCAGTGCGATTAAACAAGCATTCTTTTATTCCCGAAGGTAGGTGACGTTTGCCTGTAATTCATTCACTTTATTCCTCAACGATTGCATTTGATAGGATCATAGATGGGAGTGGCATGCGGTTTCTCCGTTGCAACTCTTTAACACGGTCCCGCACACCTCATTTCATTCCATTATTTCTCTCTCTCTGATCTTTCTCCCAGATCCAGGGCCGGCCCTGACCAATTTGCTGCCCTAGGCAAGATTTTACCTGGTGCCCCATGCATTACAGCCCATTTCACCCCATCATTGTGTTGGTGATTATTTAGTCATATATATATATATATATATATATATATATATATATATATATATAAATAAATAGCAAGAGCATTACATCTAGCATTCAAGTCAAGTCCCCTTTATTTTTATATAGCGCTTTTTAGCCTACAATACAGATTATTTCAAGGCAGCTTTACAGTGATAACAGGAAAATAATGCAACAAAGTTTGCTTCTCCTGTACAGCAGATCTAGAAAAAAAATAGTGTCATAATCCAGCTGAAGTATGTTCAGTGATGGTTTATTTTGTTGTAAAAAAATATTTATTTATCTAATTTATATATAGCCGCTCTGGATAAAACCGTGATGTCATCGTCCAAATGTCATTCATGCACAAACTATTCATTGAGCACTAGCAAAAGTGTTTGTTTGGGAGTTGATGGCAGCAATCTTCCACTAAATTATGGCACGGTTCGTGTTTTCAACATGAATGAAACTGCGAAATGTCTTCTTTAATGTGAATTTTACATAAAACATAATAAACCTGTAGCCTATAAATATCGTTAATAATTTTGGCAAATAAAATTAAAAAAATGCCTAATATCCCCCTCAAAACTGCACAACTGTATAGTAAAACATTAAATAATAAAAGTGATAGTAAATGCGTCTAAAAAAGACTGACATGATTGTTACAAATCGCATTGTCTGGGGGCTCTGAAGAACTCAGAACTACTGTTAGCATAAAGTTATAAGGTAAAAATAACTGCCATTAAATTATATTATCATCTTACTACTATGCAATTAGATAAACTGTTCATTCATTACATCACTTTACCTCTGTCTTTATCCCCTTGTAGCCTCTTCTCTTTGGCACTGTATCTATCGCATGCTATAATCCTAATTTAAATGTGTCATGAAAATTTGGCCATCCGTCACAATGAGGAAACTTTCACCGTGTCTCGAGCTGGCGCGAGCTGCCAGGCGCGGGCAGTGCTTGAGTGTATTAAGCGCCCTCAAACGAAAGCAACGCTGTCTACATTGGATGCGGCGAGGGGCGACGCTGCACAACAAATTACCAACAGTAAACTGATCGCGCGCGCTCTGTTTCTGGCGCACTTCAAGCACTCGCTGGGCGGGGGGAGATTGATGCGCTGGACCGGAGTCGGGGGAAGTTTTTGTGGAGTTGTTTTGCTTTATTTTGTAGTATTTCGAATTAATGGTTTTAAAATAGTATTAGTAAAAAAAAAAAAAAATCACTCTTTCACTCATTTTGGCGCCCCTATTGAGTGGTGGCGCCCTTAGCATTTGCCTATACCGCCTATGCCACGGGCCGGCCCTGCCCAGATCCACCAGGGCTCCATCACAAAACGGCAAGTCGTTTCCTTCCCGAAACAACAGAAAATCCAGTGATTCATCCAGTGAAGTTTCAGCTCAAAATACCCCACGGGTTATTTATTATAGAATGTTTTGAAAGCCCCTATTTCGGTGTGAGTAAAAACACATTGATTTGGTGTGTGTCTCTTTAAATGCAAATGAGCTGGTGCTCCCTTTTCAGAAGTGGGCGAAGCCTGTACAGCTAATGCTGTTGCTAGTTTGGATCAATACTCCAGCAGCAACAACTGGAGTGTGGAGAGCTTCACACAAAGAGTAGAACTCTCAAAGATGGATCAATACCAACTGTTTGTCCAACTTCATATTCAGGACATGTAAGTACTGCATGTTATATTTTGTGAATCTACTTGTTAGCACGCTGTACGGCTAATGTGCCTAAAGTTACCATTGTCTCTGACTGAATTCACAGAGATGAGAGCTATGTCATTAGTTTTATTTTTAAGAAAAGTAATAATAGTGCGCTTCTGAATTGCACAGGCAGTGAGTATGTTCGGGTTAAAAATAACAAGATCTGGGGTCTCATTTATAAAGCGTGCGTACGCACAAAACGGGGCTGGAAACATACGTACGCCAGTTTCCACGCAAAGGTTGTGATCTATAAAAAACAAACTTGACGGGAGAATGTGCGCACCTTTAAGCAAACTTTGAGCCGTGCGTACGCACATTCTGGAGACAAAGGGAATTGGCGACACAGATGGTGAGTTGGAGTTAAATGTCTTTTTGGTCACTTTTAGACAGAAAATCTAAAATAAAATTATACAGAAAGATAAATATAATTTCACTCACCAAGCCTATCACTTGAAGCAAATATCCATCCCTTCTTAAATGTCTGCGCCAGCGAGCGCGTTGGGCCGTTTAGTGAAACTGACGCATTTTTAGCCTATCTAACGGCAGATGAAGTAAAACTGTAAATCTTTATTATGAGTCATAATCATAAATAGAGTGCATGTTCACAATGACACTTTAAATAAATAAAATAATGATTTAAACTATGTTTTACTTTTGATATAAAACTGTAGATTAAATATGCCATTCCCATTAATGGAGTTAAACACTTAAACTACATGAAATCATTACTGAGAAGTTACAACATTTTTTTATATTCAATAAATAGAAATATTTGTTGTGGATGCAATGCTTTTGAACACTTTTCCTCTGGCATGCTGTGTTTTAATGTTTTACATACATAATTGCTTATCATGATAATAGCAGATTGTCTGAGAAAATAGTTTCGTGCAAATAATGCACAAGATCTGTCTGTTTCCATTAAAAATATAATCAATTAAAAATACTATTTGGCCAGTGTGATTGAGAAACTTTATCTGAAATGTATTTTACACTATTTGATTTATTTATTCAAAAACAAGGCAAGGATAGGCTTATGATTTTTATTAATGTAGCCTAATGTGACAGCACATCCGTATTTCATATTTTCCTAATATCTTGTATCGTTAAACATGGTATCACGTGGATGCATAATCATATGCAAATGATATGCAGATGAGGATATGCATAGTAAAACTAGGCGTTGTGAGCTCCATATATGGTTCTTTCGGGGAGGAGACGCGTGTGCGCACATTCTTCCACTGACTGGGATTTATAAAGTGAATTTTGCGCAGGTTCTGGCGTACGAACGGTTTTATAAGTCTGAATATTTTTTAGCGTACACCATTTTTGGCTTTCGGACGCACGTACACTTTTAGTAAGGATCCTACGCACAGTTTTATAAATGAGACCCCAGGTCTTTGTGAATACAGTAAGAGACCACGGTAACTTTAGCCTCAATAGCACATTCAGAAAAGCGATGTCATATATTTTTGTCATTAATTTTTTAGAATGTAAGACACACACAAACACATGCCTATCTTCATAATCCTAGTTTTGACTTGTAAAGTTTTTTGAATTCGACCCAAATCCAAAATATCACTTGCACTGCAATATACAGTGAAAGTCCAAAGTTTCAATACTGCTCAAAATCATTTTTTATCCATGATTAATATTGCATTGCATGTGTGCTGGTCAACTAATCTAAAATTAAGAAACCCCTAGAAAACAGTAAAAAACAACAACAACAACAACATATGACCATTGTGTGTGCATTTAAGATAGGCTACTTAATTTGTTATTCCAATATCCAAATATGATACTAAATCTCACAGAAAAAAAAAGCTTTTATTTGTGACGTGCTATCTTTGCATTTGAACATTGCACATTTTAAACAGGACACGCATTGGCTTCATAAATGTTAGCCAATACAAACCTATTTATAGAAAATAGTTGACAATGACTAGACAGGAGTCCAATAATAGCAAAACGAATCACTTATTCTAAAATTAATATCAAGATTAAGTTAGACAAATCCGACATATAATGAGGGCTATGTTAACAGTAAAACGTCTATGTTAACATTTTAAAAACACAGATGGATAATACAAAATTCTTTCTGACATTTTGACAGAAAAAAACACAACCAAGAACAAAATTTAAACTTAGCCCGTCAATTTTCATTTTACAATTATCTTCTCTCTCTGTGTGCGCGGTCTGTGTTTGTGAGAGGGAGAGAGAGCTGATACAACGGTACTTTTTAATCCATAAGTAAATAACGTGCTTGTTTTCATACAAAATAAATATGTAACATAATTAGGTACTTTAGTTATTATTAACACAAAAACGTAACACATGCAGGCTACGTTTCTCAACACTGAGAATGAATAAATAATTTTCAGTCTCTTCTAATTTTCTCTTTTTAATGATAGGCCTTACACTTGGCAAACTCT